ACCCCACATCCTGAAAACTGGCTTTAAAACCATTCCTGTGGTTTATGTGGGCGTGTTTCAGCTTGCAGCAGATGTGAGGAGTGCCATCGGATGGATGGGGCTTGATGCTTGTCCTCAGGATCTGCCTTGAGACACAAGATTTCTTGCAGAATGTGTAGAGCCTGCTCAGTCAGATCGCTTCTTCCAGGCATGCTGTGCTCCCAGATTCTGCAAGGCAAAACTCTACTTGAAAGTGAACTAGAGGTCCATTTGGAAATGAAGAGCAGGGGTGAACTTCCTCTGCTTTCCCATCACCACCACTTCCAGCTCTTCTTCCGGTCTGGACTGTCCACAAGAAGGTCTCAAAATATGTTCTCCATTCAGTGGCGTAGCTGCATCTTTTTTTTATTCTGGGCAATGATATAACATTTAGGCGGCCACGTGTGTTCAGGGCTAGCGTCAAGGGTAGGCAGGACTGGACAACTGTGGAGAGCTGCACCCAGAGAGGCCCCCTGGCAAGCCATCGCTGCAACCTGCTCGCTCGTCCGACTTTCACTCTGGCCCACATGTTGATGAGGTGGAAAAGAGGGGCTGAGATGCCACAGCTCACTGGCTCCTCACCCGTTAAGCAAGCACACAGGAACAATAATGAGACAGACCATGAGGAGCAAGAGCTGCTGGCGACCATGCCTGCCAGATTCCCTACTTTTCAGCTTCCCGGGCTCTCGTCTGCGTTGCAGTGGGCCACAGTCGGAGTCCCTGGTGAGCACACACGAAGTTTGCCTGCCACTCGCCAGGAATTATGCTGGAAACACGGCGCAAGCAGTGCCATGGCCGGCCACCAGGAATGGCAGCTGGGGAAGGTCCCAGTTGCGCAACCAGGGGTCCACGAATGCTCAGACTTCTTCCAGGCTTGGCTGTATTCCTAAGAAAAGGTAGGAGTGCTGGAAGAGGTCTGGCAGGCAGGCACAACCAAGTTCCAGGGAGATCTGGCATATTCCTAATGAGGAGCTTGACTCCCAGAAAGAGGGGCCTGCGGGGATTGTTTTGTCCACGGGCCCTCCAAAATCTGGAGCCCGTACTGTGTGTGTTACTGCAGTAATGAGGCACCACACTATTTCTCGCTCTCATGCAGCCCAACAGGATTCCATGTTTACAACTGCCTCTCTCTCCTGACCTGTTAGAACAAAATCAAAATAAAATGCATGCTAATCCTATTGTTTTTTTAAATGGGGATGGGGAGAGAAGAAACAAGTATTCTGAACGTGTTCCACTTCACATCTTAAACTTGCTTGATTCATAACACCTTAATGATTGCAGGAAATTTTAATTTTAATAGGAACAAATCACTTAAAACATACAGTTAAAATAATTCTTACAGTACAGTGCCCCCCCACCAGGACTGATAATACATGTTACAATCAAGGGGGAGTAAACCCTGATTCAAACATTTCAGGACTTTTCCCTCTTCCAAACCTGTAATGATTCCTACAAAGGCTCCAATCCTTTTTCCTTTTAAAAAACTTAATAAATACACCCCAAATATCATTAAACTTATTTTTCTTTATATGCCCTTTTCTCACTTTAATCTCACATCTTAAATTGTCATTAATAGCTGTATTCCAAAATTCTCTATGCCAATCAGACCACCAGCAACCATATTTTACTTTCCAATTCTAAGCTATTAATCTTGCTGCAAAGGAATAAAATGACATTTGCCTCTGCTTCTCTGATACCTCCTTCATCACCAGACCCTCTCTGAGTAGTCCTCTGTAGTGGGGGCTTGACTCCAGACCCTGGACTTTGTTCCAAAGGGTCAGGACTAACTGCTTCACGGCCATCTGTTAAGAGGGGATATTCTCCTCCTTTCCCTAATGTTACTCTCCGAAGCATTATGATTACTGATGATGAAGTGGCAATATTTCCTGATTTCCCTCCATCTCTCTCCAGATGTATAGGGTGGACTTCCACAGGTGGGAGTGAAGGCCAAGGGATGTGACCGAAAATGCAAAGTGATCCCAGCATATTTTAACATGAAGCTCTTCCTGCTTGTGTTGAAACCTTTGCAGGGGCATTTCCCCCTTTTAGAATTCAGGGGACTGCAGAAAAGCTGGGAAACCTCCAAGCTATTCTTTATTCTTTCTTCATTTCATTATTTCATTTCTATCCCACCTGTAGCTGAATGTAGTTGGGCTTCTATAGCTGGGCAATTGACAACAGATCGTCATTCTCAATCACTGTTTGTGGAGGGAAGAATACATGGCTCACTGCAAGCCCCAAGAGCATGCTCCCAAGGGCCAGTTTGCCACATCAGGAGTGCCGAACCTGACCTCGGAACTGAGGTTCTGCACCCCGCTTCACACCACCCCCCGTGCCACGCTCCCTCCTCTTCAGCGCATCCACTCTTGGATTCTATTGCCATGGCCTTTACTAATTGTTCACGTGAGCGGACGAGGGATCAGTGGCTGGAATTCAGCAGTTGCCGGCCTATTCCTTGTTTGCAGCCGATTGAAGAGCCAGAGGAGGCCCACCGATCCGTAGCAGGGCCTAGAGGCAAATCCCAACAGAGAGAATCCTGCTGCGGGCAAGGGGCCCTCACAGGCTCCACCTGGGCTTTTCCTTATGGATGTGGTAAACTCAGTGAGAGGGACTCAGGCAGTTTCTTCCACTGCAGGCTCATTATCTCTAAGGCACAAATCAACCCAGGGGAGTTCCTTCCCTCCCTCCCCACTTCTTTCTCTAATCTTTTCCACTTGCTGCTTTTCTTTTATAAGGACTTCATGAATCTGGCAATTTGGACGTAAATTAATTTGGACTGGAGTGGGGATTGTGGGGAGAAAAAGGCATGGCTCACACTCTCTAGCCTGCACTTTTTATGTTTTGTTTTTAATGAAGACCAAACTAAGCTAACTAATATCGCAAGCACAGATCGAAATATTTTAAGTGTGAGTTTTACATATTTCAATCTGTTGGCTTCTGAGCCAGCTGGAAAATAGAACGTGACAGAAGAGACAGCCAAATACAAATCAGCCGTGAGGACAATGGGAAAACATCCAAAATTATGCCAGGGGGCTGTGAAATGTATTAAATTACATTTTTAAAATTTTTTGTACCTTATTACATTTCTGTCTTGCTCTTCTTCCAGGGAGTTCAGGGCAGTATACATCTATTTCTTCTTCCTTTTTATCCTCAAAACAACCCTATGAGGTCAATTAGGTTGGCAGAGGGTAACTGGTACAAGGTCACCGAGTGGAAATTATAGCAGTGGCAATATGATACAAAGTCTTCCCATTCCTCATCCAAAACATGTAGCCGCTACACCACACTGTCCCTCTAGGGTTGTAATGTGGGAAAAGACAAAAGACAAGTGAAACACACTTTCTTGGCACTGGCAGGACCTCTGCAAAATCCACTGCTCTCCATTAGAAGGGAGGAATACTTGGTTATCTCCAAACACAAAGAGATCTTTGTTCACCTCTTACCAAAGCACCTGATGCTTCCAGGCCAGAGGGCAGAGCTGGGGGAGCTGAAGGGGAATGGGTGCTCCTGGAAGAACCCAACTCTCCATGGACTGAAGGGGTGCCCTCCAAAGGCTGGATAATGCCCACAGTCCAGGTATTGTCAAGCAATGGTGGAATATGATTCAAAGCAAAGCCAATCCATTTGGCTTTTGATTGAAAAACTTACCAGAGTGATAATATTGTGGAAGTTTTTTGGCAAGCGGGATGTCAAATGCTATCAATCATTCTTAAGAGTGAGTGGCATGTTAAGATAAAATAGCTTAATTAGTCACCTATTACCTGATATGCATAAGCTCCTGTCACTCTCATTATTTCAGGAAAATGGAGAACACACTGCTACTCAAAGCATTTTCATGTGTAACTAGAACATACATAAGGAGCCTCCATTTTGAGATGGGAAGAGAGAAAGATGTGATTGTTTCTGAACTTTTTGAAAACAGGCCATCCTAAAATATCCATCTGTTCTGTAATTTGAATTCCAAACTCTGCTCAGTGGTTGGCTTGGATAAGTCCTAAATCCAATAGTTTTATTATGTTTAGCAGCAATTAAGTTCTGAATCCCAACATGGGCAGAAGGACAGATTGGTCAACTTCCAAGCAGTGCCTCAGTGTTTCAACAGACAGAGCTGTTCCTTCCTACACAATACCAAGAGCACTGCTGTTGCAGAATGTTCAGAAACTCCAGAAGTATTTTAAAATAAACAGTCCATTACAACATGACACAATATAACTTCAGAAGAAATCACAATTGTACTGAAAAAAACTACAGCTTACCTTCAAAGTGAAGCTCAGAGAACCAAGGCTCAATTTAGATGCCAGGAAGTACTTCCTGACAGTTAGGACCCCAAGGGTATGGAATGGGCTTCCACGGGAGGTTGAGGCCCCATTGATGAGGGTGTTCAAGAATAGGCTAGACATGCACATGGTGGGCATGTCATGAGTGGAGCCAGTTGGAGCCGGGGGTCAGACTTGATGGCCCAGGAGACCCCTTCTGACTCACTCTGTTTCTTTGCTTTTATGTTTCTGTGTTTCAATTTGTAGAAGACATTTTTGGAAGGAAATTTCCAGCAGTTTGCAGAAACTATTCTCGTGCGTCTAAAAATGAAGAGCTGCGTCTCTTGCACTCCTTTATGGGGTGGCCACGCCTACAGTACTGTTTGGTGAGCCAGTCATAGGGAAAGATGAAGTTTTCTTTTTCAGATCCCAGCCATGCCAACAACAGGTGCATTTCAGCTGGAATTTGGACCTTTGATAAAGCACATGAGCCGTAACTGTGAAACATCAGAGCCCAGATTCAAGTTCAGACTATCTGTGGTTTGCACTGGGGGTTTGGTGCAGCTGGTTCCTTCTCTGTATTCAGAATTCTCACTACAACTTAAGGTTGGGATCCTTAGATACACATGTTAGGAAAGATGAAATGTGTTGTACCCTCTAATTATTTTGGTGTTGGTCTTTTTTATCTTTCATTTTAATTTGGTTCTTCTCATTGTTCTGTTTAAGAGTCCACTTATCGTCACCAAGCTACTATTGATGATGAAGTTGTTTCCATGGAAATACTAGACACAGCTGGGCAGGTAAGAACACTGCACATCCTCACCACGAAGTTCTGGCAATAAGGAAACTGCCATGATCGTCAGGAGAAATGTTTCTGGTATTTATGTGTGAAATACAAGGAGTGGATATAAGAGGCAAAAAGGGAAATGATCATAAGCCAAATGGGCGAAAATGGAAAGAAACCAACGTTTTGTTGTCCTGGTTTTGTTTCTTTGATAGCCTTTATCTCAGGAGCAGTAAGAGAAAGAAACAAAAGTCCCTCCAGTCCAGGAAAAGTCATTGGGGAGAACAAGCCTTCACAACTTCCTGCCAGGGGCAAGATTTATGGACTAGTTTTACTTTTACAGAAGTAGCCAATCAGGAGTGAGTTAGATGAGACACTGGGTAAATTATGATCAGCTCTCCAAGTCCAAAGCCAGTAAGGGCCTCCTCAGACTGGACTGTGGGACTCCAGAAGCTGCTGTGAGTTCTTCAGGGAACAATAGACAAGAAGCCAGTTTTGATCTTCTTGGTACTCTGTAGCTGTTGTGGAGACTTCCTTTAAAAACAAAATGTGTTTTTAAAATTTTGGGTGCTGTGAGAGGTCCAGCCCATAAGAAGAAATTGTCCAGAGAAGAAAATGGTCCCCAGACCTGTCAAAGTTGCACATTCCTGGCACAAACTTTTTGTGAATAGGAACCGTGTTAGGATTACAGACAGTGTCCTAATGCATACTTAGTGGGAGGGGAATGAAGTCGGGGCACAGCCCCATTCTCTGTCTCCATATAGTTACGATAAAGTGGAGAATAATTCCTGAGAAAGTGTTTATTTTCTGACCATTTCACATCACAGAATCCCCATGAAATGTATGGATATTCTTCAGACAGAAAACCATTTGGAGAGAGAGGCTTCAATCTAGAAAGGCCCTCATCTGCAGCAGTGGGACATAATCAACATAGAAAAGTGGCTTTCCTGGTCTTTATCACTGCAAAATGCACACACGAAATTTGCAATTTACATAAAAATAGCATTTCAATTATTAAACATAATAATAAAAATATTAATCACTATTTAAGAATAAAAGGTAGATGACATGCTTCTTCTCCTCAAATGCTAAAACTCCCCTTGGGCATGGAGGTCACCATGTCCTTGAATCCACCATGTTCTTGAATCATGCCAAGATTCAAACCTATGACATAATCTTCCATTTCTCTGGAACTGAAACATCTAAACTGCAATGGTGTCTTTTTCTTAATTTGTTTATTTATCCGTCGTTCTGAGAGGTAATGAACTGGGACAGAGGGGTTGGCTGTGGTCTGTGAGGGTTCCCCATCTGGTCTAGCAGTTTCTTCCCCAGACCCTGCTCCATCTCTCAGCACAGAGGAGAACTTACCTTGGAATGTCGGCTGATCAGAAACAACAGCTTATCTCTGCAGGGGAGACGACTCAGGGCACGGGGAACAAGCTTCTGGATGGGTCACTCCTGCTTCTTCCAGAGCTTTCTCTGCTTCTTTGCAAGTTGCTTCTTGTCCTACTTATGTTTACTTCTGAGGAGGCTTAACATGGGTAATAATCATATTTGGCCCTGCCTGCTCTGCATTTGTCCACACAAAGAGGTGGAATGTGGCCCTTAGACCCAGTGGGAATTCAGCCCTTAGGCTGAATTCAGCCCGCACCCAGTATAGAAGGAAATGTCTAAATAGGATGTGCTATTTCGGAAAGTAACTTAGGAATATCACAGTTCCTTACAAACTGCATCTGTTCTCATCATTCCTGGCATACCCGGCACATCAGAGGTTTATCAATAGGCCAGGTGAGCTTTATATTCTGGCTGCTTCTTCTGCATTGGTTGCTATCCATGACCAAGCCATACCAAAGCTGAAAGGAAGGACCCAGGGGGATGGATGGATCGGTCAGATTTTGTTTCTGCCATGTTTGAATGTTTTAAATCTCAAGTTCTTTCCAGACCATTTGTGAAGAAGCTTATGAATTTAAGCACAGTCTCATTAAAAATGGACTAAGTAAAATTCTCCCCATCTCGATGGATCCTCTATCTAATAGAATAGCATATTAGAATGATATAAATAACTCAAAGATTTAAAAAAGCCCCTGCAACAGCTTTTTATCTCTTTTTGCGTCACCTTGTTTTGTTCATTTGGAAATAGCTTGCCACTGTTCACACTGGAAAGCCCAATAAAGATATGAAGTTTTTCTCATACAAGGATGCAGAATAATGTTGTTTTTCCTCTGTCATGTTCTAGTTGGTATATTTTTTTTAGAGCCTGGCCCTGGATCACTTCCGAAAACCATAATATATTGTTACTAAATCAGAACATAAGGGCTCTGTGGTCCAAAATACCAAATTCCTAACATCTGTGGGCAATATCCAGGCTTGGCAGTCTACCACTGAAAATCATATTGCTCTCGTGGAGACAGGCATTGGTACAACTGGGAGCTAGGCCTTGCTAGCAAAATTCCAGAAACTAGCCCAACTTAATATTGCTGGAATAAGACAAACCAGGGAATTCCCTTCTGGGACTGCCATTGGCTTGTCCCATGTCAGAAGTGCTCCTCTGAGCTAGTTTCCAGTAGTGGCAGGAAGCATTGCCCTCGCATTAGCTCCTTCTAGCTCTGCTGCCCATTGGATGCTGCCCATTGGATGCTGTCTTGCCCCATCACATTTTCCTACATTTCCTTTTTTAAAACAGGAAGACGTCATTCAGAAGGAAGGACATATACGATGGGGCGAGGGCTTCGTGCTGGTCTACGACATCACTGACAGAGGGAGCTTTGAAGAGGTCCTTCCACTTAAGAACTTGCTGGATGAAGTCAAAAAACCCAAGAATGTGACTTTGATCCTAGTTGGCAACAAAGCGGACCTGGACCACTCCAGGCAGGTTAGCACGGAAGAAGGGGAAAAGCTGGCCACAGAACTAGCTTGTGCATTTTATGAGTGCTCAGCTTGCACTGGGGAAGGAAACATCATGGAGGCCTTTTATGAGCTGTGCCGGGAAGTGCGGCGCCGGAAGATGGTCCAAGGAAAGACCCGGAGACGGAGCTCAACCACGCATGTCAAGCAAGCCATTAACAAGATGCTGACCAAAATTAGCAGCTAAATATATATTTTCAAAAGGTTAATGCAGAAGAGGTTATTCTGGGCTGTAGAGGGATCCCTGTAGAGGGTTCCAGCACAGTTGCTCAACAAGGTGGTCAAAACTTTGCTGTTTTATTTTACTTTCTTTAAACCATCACATTCTTCTTCATGACTTTAAAAAAGCAGAACAAGTTTTTGGAATATTCCACTCCTGTTTAGTCCATTGCCAAATCATATTATTTTAAAAAATAATTCACAGAGTAGCTTAGAAATGGGGGAACAGCTCAGAATGTGACCGTAGGTGACTGCTTCAGCTGCAGCCTAGCATGTGTCCATGTTGTTATTGTATGATGACCTGTCACCGGCTAATAGGTGTTATGTCCACTGTGGTTTTATCAGGAGAAATAAATGACCTCATAGGTGACTTACTACAATCTCCTCCAAAGGGTCACTTCACAAACCTTCAAAACTCTGTAACCTCCAGAAAAATGAATGAGGAGAATTTTGCCACATGCCTGTTAGTGATCAGAAATCCAAGAAAGTAGACGAGGTGTTGACTTACAACCTCTACAACATTGGGAAGGCGCTGCAAGAAGTCAGCTTAGCAAATGTTTGCGTCGGGGTAGGCAGCACATGGGCTGCCTGCGGTCCCTCTGCTAGAGACCCTGCTGCCCTTGAATTTAGGGGGGGAATCCCTGTGGTGCTGCATGTAGTGTTGCAGAACACCAAAGGTGCCAAACGTAGCTGGTGAGCACGCTCATGGGACCCCTTTGGTGCTCCATAACAATGCAGACATCACGAAAAAATAGCTTTGTATTTTGACATCCCAGAGAGAACGGCCCATGGAGGAGAGGGGTTCTCATGGACAGATATGGCCCTCTGACCTCTCATGGTTGCCCCCCCACCGGTCTTCATGCTCATTGTTGGTAAAGCGGCCATCTCTATTTACCTGTAGGCTGTTGGCAAGCTAGTAGAGTCTTTATGAACCTGGCGGTCCATTTTTTGGACTGCAAGGCCTTGGTTTCATCTGTTTCTCATCACTATATTAATGCATGGTTATTTTCAAAAACCAACAAACAGGTAATCACAACAATGTTGCTGCTTTTATTGTGTCACTTTCCCTGGACCGTTGAATGCCTACATTTTAGTGGGACATTTTCTAAAGCTTAGCTAGTGACAGTCCTTTGACAACTTTATAGCATCAACTGTACTTGTTATGTTCAAGATTATTTCCGTGCTGCTTTTTGGACTCCAAAGTGGCCCATGAAAGTTAAAATACCAAATGAAACAATGACATATCGATTGCAAATAAATGGCATAAAAAGGCACTGTACTTGACTATTTCTCCATGTCTGTAAATGCTGCACAGTTGGGCAGGATATGTAATAATTTGTTTATTTTGCAAATGATTATTTGTTTTCCTTTTTGTTTTGGCCACAACTGTTGCAGCTGCTTCTACTTGAAAAATGAATAGGAGCTCAAAACAACATTCAAGTTTGAAGGTGCAGCTGGTCCCTGCTTGATTGTTCTGGTGACTTAGGGTGCGCTATCGTTTGTGTTGATCGGAAGCTGTACTTGTCAGCTGTATGGGATGATTTTTAGAGATTATTTCTGTGTGGGGGCTTTATTTCAGGGTGAGAATATCGGAGGCTGCTTCTAGCCTCTGATTTCACTGATGGTTCTTTAAAAAGTCCTATCATTAAAATAAATCTGGACTGAGGATGGAGCAAAATTTGT